GAAATGGATAAATTCCTAGACACATATTACCTATCAGAACTAAAGCAGGAGAAAGAAAATTTGAACAAATCTATTACCAGCTATGTAACTGAATCAGTAATCAATAAACTCCCAATAAACAAAAGTCCAGGACCAAAGCTTCACTGCTGAATTCTACCAACATTAATGGAAGAGATAATACCTATTTACTCAAATGCTCCCAAGATATACCAGAGGAAAGAAAACTTCCATATTCAGTCTATGAGGATAGCATTACCCTCATACCAAAACCAGATAAAGACACAATAAAAAAAGAGAACTACAGTCCAATATCTCTGATGAACATACATGCAAAAATCCTCAACAAAATGCTGGTAAACCGCATCCAACAAAAATCATTCACCACTGTTAAGTGGGATTTAATAGTGGGATGAAAGGTGGTTAATTATTGACAAATCAATGTAATACATCACATCAATAAGAGAAAGGATAAGAAACTTTCAATATCTGCAGAAAAAGCATTTGAACTAAAGTGCAATTCATGATAAAAACTCTCAACAAAGTAGGGTTAGAGGGAACATACCTCAAAATAATAAAGGCCTGATATGAAGCACCTGCAGTCAACATCATCTTAAATGGGGAAAAATTGAGAGCTTTTCCCCTAATGTCAAGAATAAGAAAAGGATGTCTACTCTCACTGCTTTTATTTAACATGGTACTCCAAGCTATAGCCACAGCAATCACACAACAAAAAGAAAAGGCATCCAAATTGGTAAGGAAGAAATAAAACTTTGGCTACTTGTAGATGTCACACTCTAGATAGAAAACCCAAAAGGCTCCACCAAAAACTTCTAAAATTGATAAACGAATTCAGTAAATTCACAGGATACAAAATCAACATGAAATCTATTGCATTTCTGTGCACCAATAACAAAGTAAGAGAAAGTGAAATTAAGAAAACAATCCCACTTACAATAGCATGAAAAATAAGGAGATACCTAGGAATAAACCTAACCAAAGAGGTGAAGAAGACCTATACACTGGAAACTGTAACACACTGATGAAAGAAATTCAGGTTGATGCAAAGAAACAGAAAGAGAATCCATGCTCTCTTCCATTGGATCAGAAGAACTGATGTTGTTAAAATACCTATACTATCCAAAGCAAATTATACATTTAATGCAATTCCATCAAAATACCAAAAGCATTTTTCATAGAACTACAGTGATCTTAAAATTTGTATGGAACCACAAAAGACTCCAGATAGCCAAAGCAACCTTAAAAAAGCAAAGCAAAACAAAGCAGGAGGCCTCACAATTCTGGACTTCAGGTTATATTACAAAGCTGTAGTGATCAAAACAGTATGGCATTGGCACAAAAACAGACACACAGAACAATGCAATAGAATAAAGTCCCAGAAATAAGCCCACAATCATATGATCAATGAATCTTCAACAAAGCATGATGTTTTTGAAAAAAAGACAGACTCTTCAACAAATGGTGTTGAGAAAACTTGACAGCAATATGTGAAAGAATGAAACTAGACCACTTTTCTAACCCATACACAGAAATAAATTCAAAATGGATTAAGAGTTAAATGTGAGATCTGACTCCATAAAAACCCTAGAAGAGAACATAGGTAGTAATTTCTCTGACACTGGCTACAGCAACATCTGTCTAGATATGTCTCCTGACGTGACAAAAGCAAATATAATCTATGGGGACTACATCAAAACAAAAAGCTTCGGCATAGCAAAGAAACAACCAAGAAAACTAAGTAAAACCCTATAGAATGGGCAAGATATTTGCAAGTGACATTTCTAATAAACAGCTAGTCTCTAAAATATATTAAGAATTTATAAAACTCACACCCAAAAAACAAATAATCCAGTTAAAAAAACGGGGTTACTCAGTCCTGTTTTGATCATAAAGTACCTTTTAACAGCTACTAAAACTAATGTTCCTTAGAACACACTTTAGAAAATTCAGCTGTATATCAATTTATATGATTCTGCAGATAAAGAATATAAGACTTTTCCTTGATAAATGAATATGTACATGTATATAATTATATAGAACACTGTGCTCAGCCAGTTCTTCTTGTGCCTCTCCAATCATATTTTCTCTAACTCATTTTTGTCCCATTATTTATTAACGTTGGTACTTCTCAGAGATAGCACTTAGAATTGTTTTCTTTCACTAAGGTCCTTTTCTCAGCAATCTTTACTCATTCTTAAAACTTCATCTGCCATATCTGTAAAATATTTTCCCAAGTATTTATATAGCTCTGACCTCTTTCCCAAGTTTCAATTCAACATTTTCACTTTCCAACAGGACCTTTCCACTCCATTTAGCCTTTATCATCTGTCTGAACTTTGTCATATACTCTCTATTTCTAGTAGCAACACCAGTATTTCCCTACTTATTTAGGTTTTGGCCTCTACCTTATCTTTGACTCCTCTCATGCCTTTCACTGCTGTAGATATGGCTTTCACACTACTGCTTTATGTTTAGTGTTTTAGAACATTTTATAGTGTCATCCTGAGGATTATAAGAGATTCAACAATTGTTCCCCATATAAAAGAGGAAACTGAAGCAAAGAGGCATGACCAGTGACCCAGCTAGTACATGGAAGAGTTGGAATTCAAACCCAAATCTTCCTGATTCTGGATTTTGGGCTCCTGAACACAATGCTCTCTAGACTGACAAGAGACACACAGAAGAATTCAGTTCTTAGGTAAACTTCCATGCTCATCCATGGGTTGGGCTCAAGATAAGACACTTTCCTATCATCAGGGAAACGCAAATCAAAACTGCAATGAGGTATCACCTCACACCTGTCAGAACGGCTAAAATAAAAAACTCGAGAAACAAATTTCAGAGAGGTTGTGGAGATAAAAGAAGCCTTGTGCACTGCTGGTGAAAATACAAACTGGTGCAGTCATTGTGGAGAATGGTATGGCGGTTCCTCAAAAAATTAAATACAGAATTACCATATGATCTACTAATTCTACTACTGGGTATTCACCCAAAGAATACAAAAAACACTAAATCAAAAAGATATGTGCATTCCTATGTTTATTGCACCATTATTTACAATAGCCAAGATAAGGAAGCAGCCCCAGCATCCATCGATAGATGAAAGATAAAGAAGATGTGGTGTATATAGTCCTCAGACATAAAAAACAAATAAAGTCTTCCTCTTGTGATGACATGGATGGAACTACTCAACTACAATGTTGAGTGAAATAAGGCAGTCAAAGAAAGTAAAATACCATATGCTTTCACTCATGTATGGAATTTAAGAAATAAAACAAATGAACAAAGAAAAAAAGAGCCAAAACCCAGACTAAACTACAGAGGACAAACTGGTGGTTCACATAGGGGAGGTGAGTTGGGGGAATGGGTGAAATAGGTGGAGGGGATTAAGACTACACTTATCATGATGAGCACTGGGTAATACAGAATTGCTGAATCACTATATTGTACACCTGAAACTAATTAACATTCTATGTTAACTATACTGACATTAAGAAAAAGATACTTTCTTACACCAAATTGCCATTATGCATAATATATATAAAACCTACTGCAACAAATTGTTATATATCAAGAATTTGGATTTACAAAACATATCCTCATGGGTACATTTATTTGGTTTTTAAAATAACTTTATAAAAGAAAAATATTCTCTCCCTTAGTATGAATGTATTTATACTTCATTTTTTATTAAATTTCACTATAGGAGTTATTCTACTTAGGTCAGGATATGCCTTTAATATTTTAGCAAGATTCTAAGTATATTATTGATGAAATTTTTCTAGGAAACCCACTTTCATTCATGAGAGAGAAGTCCAAAAGTGATTACTTTGGGTAGGCCATGAATTCTTATTATCTTAATGAGTTTTCCTTGAAATGATATACTTTGAGTCTCATGATGTATATAAATATAGACACATCACATATACTTGTAAATATTAGTTCCAAATTAAACTCTGAATCCCTAATTTAAAACAGTACCATATGAGCTAACAGTTACTAGAAACAGTTTAATAGTACTTTTTAAAAAAATTTATTCTAGCCTGTTATATGTAAGATATATGCAGTCAATTGCTAAACCACTTCTTTCCAGTGTACATATGAAAGAATATGATTTATCCCCTAAGTTCTGATTCTATAAACATAAGTTCATGCAGACTGCTATGTAAGGTCACATGGTAGAAAAATATTTATGAATGCTTAATATTGGTGGAAACCAAAAATAAAATTCACATGTAGTTCTATTTAAAAAACATATTTTGACCTAATTTATGGATAACTTTAGTTAACAATATTTTTAAGTTAAATTCCTAACTGCTGCAGTGAAAGAAAGATCAGTGAAAGTTCAGCAAAAGTAGTACTGTTGGTCTACATAGGGTTAGATATAATTTATCTGTAATAGTATCTCCCAAATTATGTACCTTGAAACACACTACATTATACTGTTGAAAAGGTTCAGAAAACATTGCAAATTTGATTCCTCTCTTGGATATTGGCATTGTACAAACTCCTGGAAGTTTTGCAGTTAAAAAATATTTTTTTAGCTTATTTAATCTATCATTTCTCAAGTTTTTCAGTATCTTAGAATAATTAGGGTCATTGGATACAAGATTGGAAAACCTTGATCTACGACGATAGGCAAGAGGGAATTAAAACAAGTAGATGGTACCAAAATCATTTGTATTAGATTCTGGATTATAGGTGATTTTATCAGCTTTTCTTTTTGAATGCTATTTTTTAAAAGGATACATTAAAAAGATAATTGTCTCTAGGCAAGGCAACTAGACTAAAAGCAAACAGAAAAAGACATGGGATACTCAGGGTTTACTTAAGGTTTTATACAATGTTAGACACTGGTGTGAAATGCGAACCGGCCATGCATATTTAATCCTTCTCTAAGATAACCTCTAAAGAATAAAAAAAGACAGTAAGAAAAGAACAAGTAAATCATTTATTAAAATGCTGACAGCCAGCATACTCACACTGCCCATTCTAGCTTCTCATTCTTAATAGAGTTGTACAGAGCCTGTAAAGAAAGAAAACAAGATGGAATTATTCTTTTCATTCTGTTCAATATTTTTATTTATTTTTTTAAGATTTTATTTATTTATTTGACAGAGAGAGATCACAAGTAGGCAGAGGCAGGCAGAGAGAGAGGGGGAAGTAGGCTCCCCACTGAGCAGAGAGCATGATGTGGGGCTTGATCCCAGGACCCTGAGATCATGACCCAAGCTGAAGGCCGAGGATTTAACCCACTAAGCCACCCCGGTGCCCCTCTGTTCAATATTTTTAATTCAGCAAGTGACCAAAGCCAAAAGGCTTGACTGAGTTAGCAAGCAATTCCTAAGCCCCTTGTTAGTCACCCTGTTGGCTCTGAAAGATAAGGAATACACAGGTGAAGCAAATAAGCATAGGGTAAACAGCATTTTGTGAAACAGATTTTGCACAAAGTAAAAAATAGCATTTATAAGTAAGACACACAATAATACTGTGTTACATTTTACCACAGTAAAATTAGGATATGATTAAAATTAGACCATGTACTCTATTTTTCTTATTCAAAATATGGTCTTATAGTTTCACTAGTTTGGATACTGAAGTATGCCAACTTTTTTCATTGATGTAATAAATTTAACTGTTTACATAACATTTTTTTAAAGTTTATTTTAAAGATTTTATTTATTTATTTGTCAGAGAGAGAGAGGGAGAGCGAGCAAGCACAGGCAGACAGAATGGCAGGCAGAGGCAGAGGGAGAAGCAGGCTCCCTGAAGAGCAAGGAGCCCGATGTGGGACTCGATCCCAGGACGCTGGGATCATGACCTGAGCCGAAGGCAGCTGCTTAACCAACTGAGCCACCCAGGCGTCCCTGTTTACATAACATTTTAATGAACAAGATACATGTAAGAGGGACTGAACCTAGGGTATGGAAAACCATCTCAGAATAATTTCAGAGTTTCTATACCAATGACTTATGCAGTTTTTATCAGTCTAACTTCATAATTGTGCTTTACATTAGTGAGTCTTACCCTGGTAGGCTTGAAGTGGTGGAGGGGGAAGACAGAAAACTTCTTTAGAGCTTTGGTAATGATAATGACAGTCAGCCTGATTCTCTCTGATTCTCCCAGATAAGGTAAGATCCTTGTAATCAAGTTGTTCCACTATGACAACCACCCAAGAAAATGCTATTCCACATCTGTGCTTTCTTAATTTTGGGTAAGATGTAAAAGAAAACACAAACGTATCTCTAAGCTATAAAACCAACACAACACATACTGAAGAAAAGGATATGTGCACCTTAACGTTATAATGATGTTGGAATGTTTTCCTTCAAAGGAGGACTTGGAGCAACTCAAGTCACCAAAGATTCAGTACAAATATATTTAGGTTACAGATTTTATATTACTTAAGATTTAATTCATGTACCCTTAGCCAGTATTTTCATAAATTCCGTGGGAATTCTGCAGGGTGGCTACAATAGTAAGTTTAACCCAGGCGCCTCTACAATAGTAAGTTTAAATACCAGATAATTATGAAACTAATTAGGAGGCATTTCATAATTAACAGGACATGGTAAAATGTATCCTCAAATACAAAAACTGATAGAACATCAAATTAAAATAAGGGGTAAACTGGGACGCCTGGGTGGCTCAGTTGGTTAAGCCGCTGCCTTCAGCTCAGGTCATGATCCTGGGGTCCTGGGATCGAGTCCCACATCGGGCTCCTTGCTCGGCAGGGAGCCCGCTTCCTCCTCTCTCTCTGCCTCCCTCTCTGCCTGCTTGTGTGTACTCTCTTTCTCTGACAAATAAATAAAAATCTTAAAAAAAAAAAGGGGGGTAAACTGAGGCACAAAGACCATGCTGTAAATTAAATGTTCTTTTTGAGGAACTCAGATTTACTGAAGAACTACAACAACCTATTGTTTAAATGTCTCATGAGGCTGCACTTATTTAGAAGTGCAGGGAGAGCAGACGTCTAACAAGCCTCAGGAGACTCGTGCTGGATAAATGTCTTTTTAATGGGTTCCATGACTTGTATGAGCATTTTAAACCCACAAGTAACGGTTAAGTGAGAAACTGCAATTGAAAAGAGACAGATCATTAAAGGTTCTTTATATACTACCATACTCAAAATTACCTAGAATAATTTAATGATGTAGTAAAATTTTAAAAATGTATTCATAAAGTAGATACACTTGACGGTGATAGCTAAGCATCTAAATATTTTCTGATACATTCCATTCTGTCCTAGAACAAGTTTTTTCAAATTTTTTTGCCCATGAGAATATTTTGCTTAACAAGGTACTGAGTTCCAAAATAGAAAATTCTTGTTCAGACGCATATCATGCAATAAAAATCTTTTATAAAGTATTCTGTAAAATTCAACAAATTTGCCATATTGTAATCCTCTCCCAATGTATATATTATAACATGACAAATCTAAAAAGTAGATGTTATCCTTATCGTTTTCAATTGCAAAATTACAAAGGGATTTTCTTGAATCTTTCTGGTGCTTTATAATGATACACTGTTTTTCTTTGAAAAAAAAAAAAAGGAAAATGGGTTTTGGAAATGCAACTAATCCTTCATCACAATTTCCTATCCTTCTACCCACTCAGCTTAGTTAAGAACTGATTCGTCTTTAAGTCCACAGTCATCCCTTTCATTCTTGTCCATGCTCTATCACATCAAAAAGTTTTGTTATTATTAATATCTTCAACTTTTTTGTCCCACTGCCTCTCTGTTGTACCTAAAAAAGAAACACTGAAACTCTTGAACAATCCTACTCTGCCTTTTCCACATTTATACCCCCTGTATTAGTTAAGGTTTCTTTAGTATTTCAAATACAAATACCTAACTCTAGCTATCTTATGCATAAGGGGCACCTAACAGTTTATGCAGCCAAATCATAAAAACATGAATGGAGCTGGCCTCAGGAGGGACACAGGCACTTAAAACTCTCCTCCTTGCTTCTCAACTATTCTCCTCTTTCCATCCCAAACATCTCCACTCCTTGTTTCTTTACTACACAAGAAACATTTCTACAACAAGCAATACCCATTATATCTTTTATGTCTCTCAACAAGAGAAAACAGTTCTTTCCCCTAACTCCAATTTGAAAAGATTCTAATTGGTGTGATTTAGATCTACCTGTCCTCCCCATGGACTAATTCATGTGGCTGGAAGATGAGGTATAATGACTGGGCCCAGCCCTGAAGTCAAGGAAGTTAGGGTATGTATTAAAGAAGGGGTAGCACTGCCCTAGTCACTAGTGTAATCCTCCTGAGCTTTATAGTCTCCCCTATTTATATGTGACTCGTTCAGCACTGATAGTGAAAATTAAATTAAACAAGAGCATAAATTATTGTCACTGAATATTTAGCATGTCAAACTTCAGGAGAGACTTCATTCATGAGCCTCATTTAATTTTTTGCCATCTTTCCTAAAATATATCTGGCAAGGGCATCTACTTTCTCTGCCTTTCTGATGGTATGGGAAGGGGTATCACATTTCTACCAGGCTAAACCTCTAAAATTGGTCCTGATACCTTCCCTTTCTGTGGTGACATCTCCTACTTTATTAGCTCCCTTTTTTCGGCTGTCAAACATGTACAAGTCTCCCTAAAGCCCACTTCTGCAATTTTGTTATCACCCTTTGTCCTCAGCCCCTATTTTAGCCAAATTCTGAGAGAAGTTTCTATAATATTTCCACTTAATGTCTTCTCTTCAACTCAGGCAATCTTGCTTTCATTCCTGTTCCTCCATTAAAAACTGATCACAATAAATGCACCTGCTTCTTTCATGTTAAATTCAAGGCCACTTTTCAGTGTTCTGTGTCACTTTGCCCGTCTGCAGCACTGAATACTCTCAAATATGTTCTTCCTTATTTTCTGTGGAACAATACAGTCCCCTGCATTTTCTCCTCTCTGGATAATACCTGTTACTCACACCTTCCTTATCTTCACTTAAATGCGGGTTGAGCCTGAGGGTTTATCTTCAGCTTGTGTGAACTCTCGTGAACATTAGATCCACATGTCAGACACACCTGGATGTTTCCAAAGCACCACAAACTCAGTAAAAAGGAACTAAGGCATGAAGACCTAAAAGTGGGAATGTATTCTCAATCTTAGTAAACTGTATCAGTGTGAAGTATGTAATTTTTTGAGTGTGGAAGCACTATACATAAAGCCTACATAAAAGTGATTTACAGTAATATAAAATATAGCCAAGTCAGAATCCTGGGACTAGCAGAATTTTTCTATCAACTATTTTATACAAATACTATTATATTCCTATCACACAATCAAGAAAGTTCCAAGTCAAAGTCATACTTGTATCTGCCTACTAATGGCATAAGGATAAGTCTTTTAGTAATAATGTTTTTGGGATGATTTGTAAAACTCTCAAATTTCCACTCAAGAAACAACAAAATGAGATTTCAGAGCTGACGGGGCCTTAGAGAACATCAAACAAATTCCTCCTTTTATAGATCAAAGAAAATAAAGTCCAGTGTAATTAATTTCTTTCAAGGTCCAATAGTTATTTTCCACAAACTTTGACTCAGAAATCATATTTCTCAGAAATCAATTGACTAAATTCATTCAACTAACTATATTCTCTCTTATCAACTAACTAAAACTAACTACATTCTCTCCTCCTAAGACCAAACTTTATAGTACCGTAAATGCCTGGCTTGTCAAGACCCATGTGAAAAGGTAACAAGGCCTCTCTCAGAATACATTCAATAATGGTGGTCACTGTAATATTCTCAAGGATGAGCTTTCAACAAAAGTCACTGTTGCTAGGACACAAGCTTGGAATGCCTTTGTTGGTGACCATGACTGGTTTGCCACTGATCCTATAGTCTTTTTGTTTGTTTGTTTATAATTTTATTTTATTTTTTAATAAACATATATTTTTATCCCCAGGGGTACGGGTCTGTGAATCGCCAGGTTTACACACTTCACAGCACTCACCATAGCACATACCCTCCCCAATGTACATAACCCCACCCCCACCTCCCAACCCC